ATATTGTATTTTTAAACAAAAATACATAAAAATTATTTTAAGTAAATGCACATCACAAACTCATTCTCCTGTTTCTATAATAATAAAAAACAATAGCCAATGCTGGTAATGGTTATTGTGATATCTGACAGACTTTATTAAAATAATAATAGTTAAAATTAATAGTTAAAATAATAATATTAATGTTAATTCAATTACATCGCAATTTCTTCATATCATTACAGGCAAATACAGAAACTATATCCGTAAGGAACTGAAAAGATTGTCTAGACAAATGTACGCTATTGAAGCTCTACTGAAAGAGGAGAATGCAGGACGGAATAATGAGATTGTAGCACAAGATCTGTTACCTCCATTGCCTCTAATAACGCTGAAACAGTTCTTGCAGTGCGAAAATCAGTTGAAAGTGAATACCGACATGAGAAAACAATTTGTAAGTATATATTCATATCATCATATTTATTAAATATTACTTTAAATGTTTGTATTGTCCATTAGGAAAATTGTGTTTGCTCAGAAATTTATTCGCCATCTTATAACTTTTGAATTTCGTCATATTTTATATTAATTTTATATTAATTTTTATATTAATTTCTCGTGTATTATCAAGGATTTTTTTATTTATATGTATTTAATTTTATATTGAGCAGGATTATTGAAAAGGATTTGATATAATATTTAAAAAATTATGACATAATGCAAATAGAGAATTAAGTGGCAAAATTGCTACATAAAAAGATGTATGATGATCGGTACTAAATTAACCATCGACTGAACTTGTTTTTAAACACGTGTATTTCATTTTCGCTGTTGTATATACATTTCTTCCATTCATATTCCATTTGTGTACATTTTTTGTAACTATATTATAGGTACATATGTCGAATCGGAGGTTCGATGGATAAGCAGTTTATTAGAAATACTTTATCACAAATTATCTCTAACGAAGTAGCCACTCAAATATCATGGAGAAGAGCGATGTAAGCTTTAAATCCACAACCAAATTAATAATCAGTAACATTTATTCCATTATATCTACTTTTCCATAACAACAATTAAAACATTTTTGTTTGAGATTGAAAACATAGCCTTTTGCATGCAATCTTCGTGACGTCCATGAAATTCAAATTAACGTCGATATCGATTTCATTATCATTTCTGACTGCGGAATATTCGCATCTGCTATTTTGAGTCCTTTTGTCACTCTCTTGCTCCTTTTTCCAACTCCTTGCTCTCTCTCCACTCTGCCGCTGAGCTGAGAAGATTGAAGAGAGAAGAGAGAAGATTGAGAGAACAAAGAAATGGGGAAAGAATAAAAAATATATTATAGAGTGTTCTACCCACTTTTACACTTATTTGAAACGTGCAAATTCTCATTGATTGATTATTTAAAAAAAAAATTTGCATTGTTGCAAAAGTGTAATCAATTAAAACAAACCTATTGCCTTATATTTAATTGATTAAAATATTATTTTTTATTTTTATTAATGCAATTATTTTAATTGTACATATTTCAGACTCGATGATGAAACGATTATCAGGTTTGATTATCAGGTCTGCCGAATTAGAAGAAGCTATCAAAGAATAGTTCCACTCAGATGACAGAATAAGAAGTGTCACAAAACAAAATAAACAGTA